CACAACCAGCTGTCCTGAGAGATGAAAGGTAGGGCAGGAGCAAGTGAGGTTCTGGTTCCTGCAGCAGTCAAGAATGGAACCCTCTGAGCTAGATGGAGGGTGAGAGGATGCTGGTGCCTAGAGGCACTTTCTGACTCCCAGCTATGGAGGGCTGTCACACTGTCAGGGGTGTGGCCCAAGACAGGTGTGGGGTTTTCCACAAGTCACAGAGATGCCCAACATTAATGCAAGGCAGCCTGGGCGGGGAGCTGAATGTTGATACTCCCCAAAACCCCACGCTGTGCATTCTTAGTCCAGTACTTTAGAGGTGAAGAAACTTAAGTCACAGACAGGGGACATCGGGGCCCAAGATCACACAGGTTCGTCAGAGGAACCCAGCTGCAAACTCAGGTCAGCCTGACCTACCTGGGGCCTAAGCTCTGACTCCTCTATCCTCCATGTTGCCTTTTTTTTTTTTTTTTTAAGATGTTATTTATTTATTTGAGAGAGAGAGAGGAAGAGTGGGAAAGGGAGCCCGACACGGGGCTTGATCCCGGGACCCTGAGATCATGACCTCAGCTGAAGTCAGACACTTAACTGACTGAGCCACCCAGGCGCCTCCCCGCCTCCATGTTGCATTCTGCATCCAGCTGGACATGTACATATATTTTATGCAAGTTTGAAGCATGTGGGTTTGGAAACACCAGATACAGAAGAATTACTAACATCTCATTTGATGCTGCCAATTTGAAACAGTGTAGACCTTTCACAGAGATGGGAGGGAATAATTCTTGCATCTGCCTAGCTGCGGCCGGTGAGGCCTGTAAGAATGTATCCCCTGGTAAGAGGCTTGCCTACATTTCACGCAAGAGCCCACCTGGACTGTTCAGAGGTCCAACCAGGTTGGTTAGGGTCCAACCACCTGCCCCAGACAACAGCCCCCTTTGCTCCCACCCCTACCCCGCAGTACAGTCTTGTTCAGGGGACATTGGAGCCGGGGATGTGGAGCTATTTTGTGTACAGAGGAAGACTTGTTGCCATTTTTATTTCATTTCCAATACATTAATTTATGAATTTATCAAACAATTAGCATTTCTCTAAATATCAGGGAATCAAGATCCCTCTGGTCTAATTACACATTATGGAGATAATTTTATTTTATTATTTTTAAAATATTTTATTTATTTATTTGACAGAGAGAGACACAGCGAGAGAGGGAACACGAGCAGGGGGAGTGGGAGAGGGAGAAGCAGGCTTCCCGCGGAGCAGGGAGCCTGACGCGGAGCTCCATCCCAGGACCCTGGGACCATGACCTGAGCCGAAGGCAGACGCCTAACGACTGAGCCACCCAGGCGCCCCTATAGGGATAATTTTAAAATAAGAAGTTTTAAGAAATTAAGTGTCTCCAAACATTCAAACAGTGCCTGAAATATTAATGTCTCCAAGCTTTTGGTTAAATCACGAGTTTAATATATGAGATTTTCTTAAATTCTTTCAAAGTGAGCAATATTTACACACGAGTATTCCAAAATTGATGTGCTCTCGTGCATCTCGAGGATTTGCATTCTAAGGACAGTTATGGCTGAGATAGGTGCCTATATAAGGAGGGAGGGAGGGAGGAAGGCAGGCAGAAAGAATGAACGAACGTGACACAGATTAATTCCGTACTTCCTTAAAACAGTGGGTAACATGCACGGGGGAACATTATCGTACCACCTGTGTGTGAAGATGAAGGACCCTGAAAAACCAGCAACCCTCACCGTGGAGCAACAAAGGGAACTCTTACTCTGCGCCAGCGGTCGTCCGAGGGCATCGAGGCCGCCTTTCCTTTGGTTTTTATGTGCGACAGACACTCAGCTTGTCCCAGGGAGAAAGGACCCAGGAATCGATACCGTGATGTGCCAGCAACACCTAGACGACCCAAGACGAGCAAATCTGGGAAAGAACGTGGTGCGCGGCCGGTTTAGCAAGGGAAACAGGTGCTTCAGGGACGTCTCGGAGAACAACTCAGACTCAAGCACACTTGAGGCTGGGGGCTTGCACCTCTGGGTGTAGGGGCTGCCAAACTGGTGTCCACCCTTCGCAGGCCACACAGAGGCCACACCCGAGCACAGGCCTCCGGAGGCGGAGCTGGGGTCGGCCTTCCCGGGCTCGCCGCCCGAGCGCCACCGGTCTGAGCCCGCCCCTCCCACTGGGCTTTGTCCTTAAAGCCCCAGGCTGGGGTCGCCTCCAGGGACCTCAGCCGCTTCCGCTTCTGCGAGTCCGGCGTTTAGCCTCGGGGCCGCTTGGGCGCGGGCCGGGCTCCCGGGACCCCGAGCGGAGGACGCCCAGCCAGGCGACTCCCCGCCTCAGGCGCACCGGCCCACGGACGCGGGGGCGCGCCCGCGGGACTCCATTTCCCAGCGCGCTGCGCGGAGCCGCCTGGCCGTGGCCACGGACGTCGGAAAGGGCTCCGCCCACCCGGCCGCAGGGCGGGCGGGAACTACGCTTCCCAGAAGGCGCCGCGCGTGCGTCCGCGGCGCGCATTGGGCCAGCGAGGGCTTGCGGGGGCCGGACTTCCGGCGTCCGGGACTGTCACTTCGCTGCGGGGCGTGGGGCCACACCGGTGTTGGGCACTGCAGCGCGGCGGGCCCGGCTCGGCCTTCCAGGAGCCTCGGAGAGCCGGGCGAGGGCCGCGACGAGGGCGCGAGCGGAGGGCCGCTAGGCGCACGCCGTGGTCCCCGGCGACGGTCGCGCCCCCCGAGCCTCGGTTTCTCCGGGTGTAGCCCGGGCCGCCCCGCGGGGCTGTGGGGCGGTGCCCCGCGTCACGTGCTCTCCGACCCCCGGGCGGCCGGGGAGACGGCGTCCTGGGCGTCTGTGCCCCAGACGGCGGAGAGACTGAGGCCCGGAGCCGGGACGTCCGCGTAGCCGTCGCTTTCTGCGCGTCCGCAAGTACAGGTTCTGATGGCGACCGCGGCGCTGACGGACCCGGCGCAGGTGAGTAGAGGAAGCGCAAGACCCCCTCCCGCCCCGGCCACCTCGACCCCGCCCGGGAGGGACCCGAGTCTCGGCTCGGGGGGGACTTTACCCGAACGTCCTGTCTCCCCTCTCGGTTCGTCCTGGGCCCCGGCGTTCAGGCCAGTGGAGCGTGCACGTGTGAGATCCCCACCTCGGGCAGCCAAGGGAGTGAGGTGTAGAAGGAAGTTCCGAGCGGAGGGTCCCGCACGTGCAAAAGCGGGGAGGGGAGACGGAGCCTAGGCGCTTCGGGAACCGAGCTTCCCGACGTGAGCACGGGGGAGAAATGGCAGGCTGAGGAGTTGTGTCGGGAGCCGGGGGAGGATGCGAGCGGAGACTGGACGTGCTTTAAGTTAGGGTCTTTAGAAGTATCCCACGGTTTGCTTGGCGGAGAAACGACGCAGAGCGGGGGTGGCCGTGTGCAGGGGCCGGGCGCTGCCACAGCCCCGGTGGCGGAAGACGGCACCTGCGGCACGCCGGGCCAGTGGAGATGGGGAAAGTGGTCGGATTCTGGAGCGATCTGATGTCTCAGGTGCGGCGTGGGAGCCAGTGGCCCGAGTGGAGCACAGTCCCAGGTTTTCTGGCCTGAGCACCCAGAAGAACAGAACTGCTGTAGACGGACACAGGCATTTGAAGGGAAAGCAGGCTTCAGAGTAAGATCAGGGAATCTGTGCTGTCCCGGAGTGGAGGTATCACGTGGACCTGGAATTGCAGATGTCGGAGGACACAGTCCTGATATTCTGAGCCGGCAGGGCCTGGGAATCACATTGAGGAGGAAGGAATCCTGTGGACTCAGCCAGGGATGCGTAGCACTCCAGGGAGGTGAAGACAGGCTGGTAGCCCCTGGGGCTCTGGGAGGAAGTCAAGTGGCCTAAGGCAGGGTTTTGGCCAGGGAAATGGGGGGGAGGGGTGGGCGTGGTTATGGAGGGAGGAGGAAACTGGCTTCCTGTGTGCTCACCAGATCCTTGGGCCCCCTCCTGTAGTGACTGGAGGGGATCAGCCAGCCAGTCCTTCATGCTGGAGGAGCAGCCTTGGGATGTCAGGCAAGTTCAGCAGAAGGGGGCGTCCCTCCAGGCCTGGGCAGGTCCTGGCGGGTCCATAGCTGGGACTTGTACAACTGCTCGTTACAGGAACGGTTAAGGGCATGTCTGGGGAGGGTCAGTTTGTGCAAAGGCTGGAGCACAGGTGGGCACCTGGGCCTGCCCTTGGGGTGGCAGCCATCTGAAGGCCGTGAGCTTGCTCTGGCTGCCTTGTGTGAGTGGCCAGTGGAGAGGCCGAGAAGGCATCTGTGCCCTGGACCGGTAGGGTGTAGGGGAGAGGAGAGAAGTTTCGTCTGCAGAGTTGCAGAGCTTGGGGGGGCGGGGAGGGGGGGAGGAAGGTAAGCCTCTGAGGGACATGGGGAAAGGCAGCCTTTGGGACAGGGAGGTGGGTCCTGGGTCCTAGAGCCATAGCTTAGACCGTGTCCATCTTCCCCTGCCCGCTGTTGTAGGGCCTGATGGCCTTTGAGGATGTGGCCGTGTACTTCTCCCAGGAGGAGTGGGAGCTCCTGGACCCAGCCCAGAGGGCCTTGTACTGCCACGTGATGCTGGAGAACTTCACACTTGTGGCCTCGCTGGGTAAGGCCCTGGGTTTTCCACGGGAAGCTCAGTTGTTGCCAGCACTAACCCCATATCTCCTGTTGGCCTATGAGCAGCCTCACACCAGCTGGCTGAGTGTCCCTGTGCCGCCGTGGCGCCTCTGTGTTCAGCCTCGGCCCCTTTCATCTGCTGCTGCCAACACGGTTCTCCTCACAGGGACCATTGCACTTTTCCTGTGAGTCCTGCCCTGTGGTGTGGTCTTCTTGGGTGCACGGATGACACCATCTATGTCCCATAAAGTCGTGACTCCTGCTCTCTGTTGTGCTGGGCCTGGCCCCTCACTTGCTTGTCTTTTCTCACAGGACTCTCTGCCTCAAGACCCCGGGTAGTCATCCAGCTTGAGCGTGGCGAGGAGCCCTGGGTTCTCGGTGGGACGGTTGCGACACCAGCCAGGAATGCTCACAGGAAGCCCAGCCCTGGTGAGTGGGGACTCAGAGGGTGTGAGCTTGGGCCCACCGGCGGCCAGGCTTCTGTCCCCCTTTCCCTGCCTTCCTGGAGACTCTCATCTCTTGCCTCCCACCTGACTCCGTCCTGTTCTCCTTCTACCATCAGCCCCTCCTGGAGGCTCTGGCCTTGGCTCGCCCACCAAGGGGGAGCTCCCGTGGGACCCCATTCCGGGCACCGGGGCACAGCCTTTACCAGGACGCTCCTGGTCCTGCTTTCATGGAATTGACCATGCTAGGGGAGAGGCAGCGGGGAAACAGAGTTTGTGAGTAAAGCCTATAGCGGCAGGTAGCCATCCGTGTAAGGAGCAAAAGGAGGCTGGAGGAGTCCCCCGAGACAGAAGGGAATGACACACACTGGTCTGGCTGCTGCTTTCCTCCCCAGCTCGCACACGGTCCTTGGCATCCCCTTTGTCTGACCGCTAGGCCTGCCCTGGTCATCCCGTCTCGGCCAGCATGACCCAGGGTCTACCATTTCTGTGCCTTCAGGTTCCCGTCACCTGGCATACGACAGGGTTGTTCCAGGAGCAGCAGAACTGCCAGGGGCCTTCCATGACGGCTCCCCTCCAGCACCTACGAGGGTCCTCCCCTTTGCTGGCATCTGTGAGCGTGGGAAAAGCCTGGAGGGCTGGCGGGGCACCTCCCCCTCTCAGGAGAAAAAACCCACAGGGGTGTCTGTAATCTACTGGGAACGGCTCCTGCTAGGTCCTGGCGGTGGGGAGGCCAGTGTCAGTCTGCGGCTGACCTCCCCACTGAGGACGGTCGAGGAGAGCCCACCAAGAGAGAAGGCCCTTGTGACCCGCCCCATGCCAGGCAAGCAGCTAAGGGCATGTGGGGGCCAGAAGCCATATGGGCGGGAGGCCCCTGGAAGCGCTTTTCCCAAAATTCCAGAATTTGAGTCTGGTCTCACCTCTGGGGAAGGAGGAAAGAGTCCAGCTAGCCACAAGCCTCATGGACTCCCTGCTGGCCAGGAGCCCCCAACCTGGGATCAGCTGGGCAAGGCCCTCCACCCAGGCCCTGGCCTCCTTCCCGGGGAGAAGCCCTTCGAATGCAGGGCGTGCAACAGAGTATTCGTGAAGAGCTCGGACCTGCTCAAGCACCTGCGCACACACACTGGAGAGCGGCCATACGAATGCGCGCAGTGCGGCAAGGCCTTCAGCCAGACGTCGCACCTGACGCAGCACCAGCGCATCCACAGTGGTGAGACGCCCTACGCGTGCCCGGCCTGTGGCAAGGCCTTCCGGCATAGCTCCTCACTGGTGAGGCACCAGCGCATACACACAGCCGAGAAGTCCTTCCGCTGCAGTGAGTGTGGCAAGGCCTTCAGCCACGGCTCCAACCTCAGCCAGCACCGCAAGATCCATGCAGGCGGGCGGCCCTACGCGTGTGCCCAGTGTGGCCGCCGTTTCTGCCGCAACTCACACCTCATTCAGCATGAGCGCATGCACACAGGGGAGAAGCCTTACACTTGTGCCCTTTGTGGTGCCGCCTTCAGCCAGGGTTCCTCACTCTCCAATCACCAGCGTGTGCACACAGGCGAGAAGCCCTTCGCCTGCGTACAGTGTGGCCGCGCCTTCAGCCACAGCTCTAACCTCACGCAGCATCAGCTGCTGCACACGGGCGAGCGGCCCTTCCGCTGCGGGGACTGCGGGAAGGCTTTTGCCAAGGGCGCGGTGTTGCTCAGCCACCGACGCATCCACACGGGTGAGAAGCCCTTTGTGTGCGCACATTGTGGCCGCGCCTTCCGCGAGCGCCCGGCCCTCTTCCACCACCAGAGGATCCACACGGGAGAGAAACCTGTGCGCAGGCCCCGGCGTGGGGCAGGCCTGACCCCCCAGGCCAGGCCTTCTTCGGTGGTGTCGTCAGAGGGCTCACTGGGGAGGGAAGCGGGGTCCACTTCTGCCTCAGGTCCGGCCGCAGTTTCGAAGCCTGCTGAAGCCTGAGTTCACAGCTCCAACCTTCCCAGGCTTGTCGTAAAACACCCACGTTCCCTGCGTACCCACATTTTGGAGAAGACCCGTGTGTGCACTGTCGGTCCGTCTGCACATGGTGACGACGTTTGCCATTTCAGCTACGGCTCACTCCAACCCTACGTGGTCAGCCTGCAGATCTAGCAGGGGCGTATTCCCCCCATTTGGATGCTGGGACTTTGGCAGGGCAGAGACTCGGCAGTAGAGTGCCGTTTCATGCCTATTACGACTGTGGGTGCTCAGGTGAGGAGGGGGACTGCTGGAACGCTGGGGAGGCAGTCCTAGAAGTTTCCGCTGTCCATGCACAGACTGGCCGCCAGGCCGACCCTCAGGATATTCTCCAGGGCCTCCTGAGAGCGGACCCAGTGGCTAGGAGGTCATGTGGGGGCCAGGTGTTGACCTTGGGCTCTGTCTCAGCTTCCACCTCTGGGGAAAAGAGCGGACGAGAGAGGGAGAGAGATTCAGGCCTACAGAGGGATCCTGACAGGCAGGATCTTGCTGAGGGTCAGCGTGTGCCAGTTGCCAGCCCTGTGAGGTGGCTGCTGTGGCTGGTATCCCCACTCAGATGAGGAAATGGAGCCAGAGAGAGGGGATGTGAGTTGTACACAGCAGAGCCAGGACTTGAATCCAGGCCACAGGCCCAGCATCCAGACAGCTCACCAGTCTGCCCCCGGGGTTTTAACAGCCATGCTCGGCCTGCCAGTGTGAGAGCTGGGTGATGCCAGGCCTGCCTGCCCGCTCATGGCAGTCCCACAGTGGGCGGTCCCTGGGGTGGGGAGAGGGAGACAGACATCAAGACTGATAGGTCTTGAGCCATGTTCTTTCATTCGCTTTCTCATCCAAGCCTTAGCATTGGCCACGTCCCGTTGTTACCAAAGGCACCGCTACCGGAGCCTTTATATTCCCCCCGCCCTGACGAGAGGTGATCATAACCACAGGTTTGGAGGAGACCACATGGGACTCCTTGTTTCTCCCCGTGGCCCTCAGCAGACCAGGGCCCATCCTGCCGTCAGTCCTCACACCCAGGGATGTTAGTGGTCTCTCTACTTGGGAACAAAAAAGAAAGAGCAAAAATTAGAAGTTGGAATGGATGCACCTTGTGTAAATCCTCGCACAGCACTGTGGAAGTCCACAGCCTCAGCCGCCCCTCCCAGCCTCCAGGTCATGGTTCAGAAGGGTTTAACGGCACAGTCC